CTCTCTCTCTCTCTCTCTCTCTCTCTCTCTCTCTCTCTCTCTCACACACACACACACACACACACTCACAAAACAAGCTATTTTTAAAATTCAATATTAATAATGACCAAAACTTTTGTTTAAAACAAGAAAACACAGCAATAGAAAAATCATGTCTGCAGACAGAGCCTAATTTTTCTGTAGTTCATTATTTTTACAAACCCATTTAAGCCCTAAGGGAACAGAGCACAGACTCTTGAAAGAACTTAATGCTATCACAGAAATGACCTTTGAAAACATGGAAGCCAGTGTGCGGCTATCTCCCAGACACCCCGAGCCGCAAAGAACTGCGGAAAAGCAGACAGACTGAGGACGCTTATTTTTTAGAACTTCTCTTCATATAAATGAAAACACTTGATGGACAAACACAAACCTGCCACGCATTTGGATGTTCCGGCACCGTGGGCGTTACTTATTTCTGAGACTCTAAAATGCAAACGCTTATTGTGTTTGTTCTAGAATAAGAAGTAAAGTGAACAGAAGTCTGAGGCCTATGAAAACACACCTCAAGAACACACCATGTGACCTCAGTGAGAGGCCAGGGAGTGGGTCCACGCCAGCATTCCTGCAGTATTTTATAGTCCCAGCATTTGGAGTGAGCATTACCCGCTTGGCAGCCTCCTGTCTTGGAGAGGACAATGAGATGGATGCCTCCACCCCACAGATGGGTGCCAGGTGTGACCCCAAGCCTTCTGCTGCGTGCTGGGACCTGAGCATCTGCGGTGATCAAACTCCTACCCTGAACTCTTACCCTTCCCTGCCTGAAGACACTGTGAAGAGGGAGACAGGTCCTCCCCAGGCCCTTGAACTTGGGCATTGAGTTTCCAGACATATGAGGAAATGCTATCTACTGCTGGAAGCACTCCATGAGAATATGCTGCTGTATCAGGAGTGAACTGAAACGCTTCCATGGTCTTGATGCTGTGAATGATTAATCTGCAAGATTATTTGTGTAGAACTGGTTCCTGTCATTATGGAAAACCCATGAGCATTAAACAGGATCAATGTAAGAAATAAGGAAGTTGTGGAAGAGAATGAACCCACACAAGCATGCTCTGGTAGCCCACCTAAGGAACAGCCATTTCCTGAGGGCTGGGGGTACCTGTCTCAGGCCTGGCAGCATGGTGTCTCTGCTGGAACTCCTGTGCCCCTGAGTCCCAGAGCAGATGGCTGCATCAGAAAAGCCCATCTACGTAGAAACAGGCAGTCAGCTAGATCTGCCTGTGACCCTGCCCAGGCCTTTCCAGTCCTTCAGTCAACTCAGTCAGCCCACACAGGTGTCTGGGTCATGCAACAGGGAGTGTGAACTTTGCTGTGTCAGAATCCATGCTTTGGCAAGACCTCAAATGTGTCCTTGCTTGTCTTTACAGCTCGCAGCCAGCCCTAGCGCAACACGAGTCGTGAGGCTGACGGCAGGGCAGCTGCGGACTATATGCTGCAGGGAGAGGTGCCTAGGGAGGCCTGGGATGCACAGGAATGGGGAAGGGAGGGCGGGACCCAGCGATGCCACACTCAGGGCGATCCCCAGCTTCCTTGGATTTGGCACCAGGAAGGGTGAAAAGCAGAATGAGACAGAAGGAACAGAGCAGGACCAGGGGCCAGAAAACACATGGATGACTGTGAGGCAGAGGAAGAAAGGGATGGCAAAGTTCTGGAAGGGCCTGGCTGCTACTGTAACCATGGAAATGAGTTGGTCCCCACAGTCTCAGCTGGAGTCCATAGGATATCCCAGGCCGCTTAGTCGAACAGTACCAAGATTAGCTTCCATTTTTCTGAATGGGTCTCATGTAGCCTAGGCTAGCCTCAAACCTGATATGTAGCTGATCCTCCTGCCTCTATCTCCAAGTGCTGAGGTTACCATCGTGGGCCACACACCTAGTTTATGTAGTGTTGGGGGTTGAATTTAGGGCTTCGTGCATGGCACACAAGCATTCTGCTGACTCAGCTACACTCTCAGCCCCAGTTCCCGGACTGGGTCGCTGGAAGCAAGTTTTCTTCAGGGTCAATGAGCAGCAAGGCTTTTGACCTTTACCCTTCTGTAAGGATCCCAACCTGTCCCACTCTGCTCCCTGCCAATTCCCACCACAGAAGCGAGGGACAGAAGCGACCTGCCGCATGCAGACTTAGACCAAAGGGCTTCGGGCTGATTTCCCCCCGAGGCCACCAGAAACAGACACTTTCCTGGAGCGTCCTCCTAAGATCCCAACTCTAAGCCCATGTTGCTCCAGAACGTCTAATCCCTGCAGCTGGAGGCCACCTTCCCTTCCGTCCTGTTTAACAGAGTTTTTCATAACCAACAGCTGGCATCACCATCACTGACATGCCCCCTTGGATGGAAGCCGGATGCCCCCCTAAATTCAACTGTTCCTAGAGGTGGGCAGGCAACTAATAATCCAGTAAGATAAAGCAGTTCCTCAGGCTGGCCCACACTTTCAGCCCCAAGTTCTAATTTCACTTTCTGGGGTTCAAAGTTTACTCTTTCAGTTTTAACTCCCCAGGGACAAATGTCAAATACTTAAGCCTTTCTTTCGTCTTAAAGACAAGGCCTGGTTAAGAATGGGCAGTTACAACCACGAATCTGCACACAGTGGAGTTGTTCCTTTACGCAGAGCAGGCGGTGCGGTGTGCCACACAGACGCCATGGAGGACTGCTCTACAGCGTCTCCTCTTCTGAGCACAGCTCTGAAAGTGGAGTGTCCCAACACTGGCGTCTACGTACTGCACGGTGGGCTTCCGTCCCCACCCCCGTGTGTGACTATTCTCCCAGAGTGGGGTGTCCGTGTGTCACTGTGTGAGCTGCAGAGCCCTGGCAGTCACAAGCTGGGTGGGCATTTACCGTCCTGGAAGACCCGCTCCACGTTGAGCCCATAGGTGGCGCACGTCTCGTAGTACGTGCACCGCTTCAGGTCATTAGAGAGCTTCCGCGCCCTGGCGTCATCGATGACCCTCGGGTTGGTGGAACTTATGGCATCTGCAACAGACAAGGACAGCGTGCTCATTAGCAATTGCTCTCCATGACTCTAGAGCCCACGTGACCCAAACCTGCCCCCACAGCCGGTTGCCTTCTGCCATTCTGGGGGCCCTTGCAACTCAAAACCCATCATAACCCAGTGCACATATCATTCCTCCCCGGAGCCGGAATTCCAAAAATAGTTCACCCCAAAATAATAGGCTCAAGCTACAGAATGGTGAGGGCAAGGAGGCCCACGCCAGTCCTGACATTTGGGAGGGCTGAGTTCAAGGCCAGCCTGGAGAGAGACTCATAAACCTATCCTTTGGGCTCACTTCTTGGTGCATTTCCAAAAAAAAGGGTGTGACTTAGGGCACTTGCACTTAGTGTGACGTGACAATACCATCCCCAACCGAGGTTCCTCAGGTACAGCCCACCAGAGAACACTTCATCTGTCTCACTGGACAAGTAAGTACGTCAACATATCATTTACAACAAATAGGGAAAGAGGTCCTTTATTAAGGTCTAAACACTCCTTTAAGTAAACCAGGGAGGAAAAAAGTTAGAAACCCCCATTTCTCAAAGCCTGTGTGCTTCTAACCTGGGAAGCCCAGCCATCGAGCCCCCACCTAGCTCACAGTGTATCCCGCCCGGGGGCCCCCACCTAGCTCACAGTTTATCCTGCCCAGGGCCCCCACCTGGCTCACAGTGTATCCTGCCCGGGGGACCCCCACCTAGCTCACAGTTTATCCTGCCCGGGGGCCCCCACCTGGCTCACAGTTTATCCCATCTGGGGCCCCCACCTAGCTCAGTGTATCCCGCCCGGGGGCCCCCACCTAGCTCACAGTGTATCCCGCCCGGGGGCCCCCACCTGGCTCACAGTGTATCCCGCCCGGGGGCCCCCACCTGGCTCACAGTGTATCCCGCC